AATTTTTTTACAGAAAATGGATATTCTCAGCAACTTCTAGTTATTGTAAAACATTACAAATCATCCAAATAATAAATACAAATAATACCATAATACTTCCTTGGGTTTTTAAATTAAGCCTTATTCTAAAACGTGAGTTTCAAATAGTTGGCATAAAAATAGTTTTTGGTTTTGGAAGATCTTTAAAATTTTACTATTAAATTTTAATAAAATAGCTAACTATAGTTTTTCTAAAATAGCTAGCTATAGTTAGTTATTTTATTTTCTAAAATCTTCACATTGAAAAATATTTTATATTTTTTTTTGTAGCTATCAGAGCTGTGGCTACATGGGCCACGGCGATGGTAGACCTCGGGACCCCTATGGTGCCAAATTGGGTTATATAATATCTCCGATGATTCGCGAGTGTGTTCTTTACATTTTGATTCAAGTTGTTTCGACAAATCTAACAAACAATTAATTAAATCAAGCACTAGGAAGAGATATAAAAAATAAGAATATACTAATAAAGTATATAATTTGTAATTAACTTTCAAACTTTTGATAATTTAGAACATATATATTATAAAACATTTATTTTTGTAAACAAATGATAATAGTTTAAAAGATTTACGGCTTTACAGATGTGGCTCCGAGAATGAGCCATAATATTAAAGTAATAGTTTATTGGATAATATATTCTTAAAACAACTTATGCTAGATATCTCAAAACGCAACAAATCGTGAATAATTGCTAAAAGATTTCAGAACTTTATTTTGCTTAGTCAGCGTTTTTTTTTGTTTTAGTTTGTTAGCAAATTTAGCAGGTTTTTAGCGTTCGTGAATATTATTTTTATTCTTCCGCAAGATGTTTTAAGAACATTCAAGTTAATTATGTTTCCATGTATGTCCATAAAAAAAAAATTAATATATAATAATTTTTTAATTTTTAAGCCCCGCCTTGATATATATTGGATGTTATAATAATGAAAATATAAATCACCTCAATGGAAATAAGATCACCTCAATACCAAAAAATACATTTTTGAAAATCAGAGAAAAAATGCGCTTTTTTTTTTTTAATATTTACAAAGTAAATTAATAAAAGTGCATTATTATTTTAAGTTTAAAATTATTTAATCCAATATTTTGGAAAAAAAACTTATAACAAAAGAAATCAAAATACATGTGGTCTAGGCGATTATTTAAAAAAGATGCGCAAATGAAATACTATTTTGTTTTTAATTTTTTTACAAACACATTTAAAACTTTAAAATATAATAAAAATGAATAGGATTTGGAAATTGTATATAAAAAATAATAATCGGTGTTTTAAACAAACAAACAAAAAAAACTCCTATAAATTAAATGCACTTGAATAAATTATCAAGTCTGTACAATACGCCTGGAAAATCGCATTTATTTTAAAGACTCCAAATACCGCAGAAAATGGAGAAGACAAGCTTCGACTAAAACAACAAAATTTTTTTTTTGGTATACATTTATTAATTAGCTTTAATCAAAAAAAATTTCCACAGACGTTTTTTTTTAACATTCTCTTTAATATGAACACAACATGTCTCAGGACTTGGTGGTCCCTTTAAGAATTGCCCAAAAATCCTCTATAGCACAAGCTTCTGGTAAGTTTGCTAGATAGTCTTTTTTTGAACAAATGGTATCTTTTGGGTTTTTAACCATTTTGTTACTGAATTAGTATAGTGAGATGTCGGGCCAAAATATATACTTGTTGTCTCAATAATATTTATTAATAAAAGGTTGCAAGCGCTTTTGTAAACACTCTCTTGAATAGATCTCTTGGTTTACTGCTTGGCCAGATGGAACAATGGAAATAGATGTGACCCCTCTAGGGGAGATTGCCATCCATACAAGTAAATTTTTTTCAAATTTTGCAATATCATAATACATAACAATGTCTGGTGTAAATTTTTGATCATTTGAATAGTATATATTATTACCAGCCAGTGTGCTATTCGACAAAGTAAAGAATGACTCATTGTCAATAATTAATTAGTTGTGATATTTTGAATAAAGTCGACCTCATTTTCGGCGACCCTAAAGCCTCTGTTCAGGAGTTCTGCTTGGTCTTTTTTTTCTTTTATAACAAAGAATAGGCTTTTTAAAGCATTTTAAGATTCGTCCGATGGTGTTTTTGCTACAACCAAGTCTTCTAGAAGTCTTTGAAAGTGACACACTTCTTCGATTGTTAAACATATTCCTTAATTTGATGCGGTTGTTTTGTGTATTAAGAGTAAGCCTTCTTCCACTTCCAGTTTTGTGACCCAATGGTTTATTTTAATCATAACTGTAAAAATTGTAGCTTTTGAGTAGCCCTCCATCTTGAAATGGTTCCAAACAATGTGTTTTCCATCTTCATGTTTTTTTTTTATAAAATTTATACATATGACTTTTTAGGGCTTGTTGATTTGGCATTTTAAATTATTATCTGAACAAAAAATAAGAGAAAAGATAGAGCTTTTATTTGATACCAAATACTAATTATTTTATCAAGCTTACTAATTAAATACCGCTAATTCAAGTTAGTCTCAAATTTTATGGAACAGGTGTTATGATTAGTTTAAATACAGATATCTAAAAAATTAAGTTGACCTTGATTATTTTGGTATTCGCATGGGGATTGAGAACAATTCTGCTTTATTAGAGTTAGAAAAATGTGCATGGCAGTCATCATCATCATCATCATCATCATCATCATCATCATATATATATATATATATATATATATATATATATATATATATATATATATATATATATATATATATATATATATATATATATATAAATTTATTTTTATTTGCTTTGTTTTGGGTTTTTATTTATTAATGACAGTTTTGAAAACAGTTATTCATCTGGTTGCAAAAATTAGTTTTTAAAATATTTATATTGATTGACAATAAAAACATGTTTTTAAAGAAATATGTCAAACAGAGAAACTTTAAATAAAGTAAATAATTGAATACAAGTTTTAAATCAAATAAATAGTGATATTAAGAACCAGGATATAAAATTAATCAAAAATTAAACATCAAATGTAAATACAAAAAACAATGATTTTCAAAGTTTTAATCCAATTCAGTTAAAGTTCATAAGTATAGTCAAAAATAAAACAAAACTTAAGCACCACATGTTTAATCTCTTTGTATAAATTATGTAAAACAATAAAGAAATTTATAAAATGTACACTTTTTTTTTTTTTAAACTAATAAATATATATTAGCAGTAAGCAACTTGTAATCTGAGTTAATCAGGCTTGGTCGGGAAGTGGGTGCAATCACACTCGACAACTGACCATGGAAATAATATTTAGTTGCGAAAAACTAGCCAGATTTTTTAGTCGTTATGAGAACATTTAAATTTATGTATGTTTCCTTAATTAAGTTTATTATTTTATCAATAATTTTATAATATTTTGTTTTACAGACATACGTGAAAACATACATAAACTCGAATGTTCTCAAACATCTTTGTGCGGAAATTGAATATTTGCAAACACAAAAAACCTGCCAAATATACGAACAATTAATTCTATTGGTTCAAAAAATACTAACTGAAATTTCTAGAGTATTCTGTTGAAATATTTTAAAAAATTGTATTATTTGAGTTTCGTTATGTTTTCGTAAAACATTTCTATGGCTATCTTTTGCAACCAAATGACTTAAGACATGCTAAGTATATTTATTAGTTTAACTGGTTGTTTTGATTTAGTTTATAGATAAATTTACTTTGATGTACTTTATCTATATAGTAAATCACACTAAATTTTATTTTAAAATATTGGTTTCCTCGCAAAGGTTCAAAGTAATAAAAGTTCAAAAGTGCTTTATGTTGAATGAAAATCTTATCCAAACAGAGCAAATAGTCATGCTTCTATTTAAAAGTTAAATTTAGCATGACCTACTTTATGAATGACCCCTAATATAAACCTCAGACAGGGGTTATCTTTTTACGGATATTTCCATAATTCCAGATACTTTTCACAACTTTTAGTTATTCCGGATATCCAAAATGTTTTTCTTACATACAAGTTTAGGTGTGTATTTTTGTAATATATTTGTTTTTTATTCTTTTTCACTCATCGCTTATACAAAAATTATAAAAAAATTGGAAAAAAAAATTTGAAACAACTCAGCTAAATTCAAAATTAAGAGGAAAATAAGGGAAAATATATTCCCGATTTTTTCCAGATATTATACCCAAACAATTTTCTGGATTTTTTAAAATAAGACCTGGATGATTTATACTCAGAATAAAATGTTCTTTATTTTTTAGAATAACTGAAAAAATATCCTAAATTAGAAAAGAAAAAGAAAAAAAATCACATAAATATTTTTTTTAAGGAAAAACTAATCAGGAAGGTGTAAAAAGAAATAGCAATTTGTGATTACGTTACGCTTTATTAGAACCCTGTTTACTTTATAAAATCAATATGAATTAGAAATTTATACCTTTTCTTTATAAAATCAACATGAAGTAAAAATTTATAACTTTGCTATATAAAATAAAAGCTAATAAGGGATGTTTAATTACCAAAATTCTAACAATATAAATATTTTGATCTATATTATAATCAAATACAAAGCAGTTAAGAAAAAGTTTTTAACTCAATTGCAGATTATGTATGTTATTAAGAACATTAAATATCTTATGTACACTTCTATAAATTTAAAAGTTTTTATGCTTGGGTTATACTTCTATGAATTTAATATTATATGCACTTGGTTTATATATCAATGAATTAATAATTGTGCATTGTTTTTACTTCTAAGAGTTTGACAAAGTATGGATTTGGGTTGTACATTCTTAATAAAATAAATCGGTCATAGTACAAAAAAATCTTTTGGGAACCTTTTTAAGTTTTTAAATGATTTTATTTATGTGATAAATATCTAGATTGATTTTTATAAGATTTTTTTATCTTTACAATATTTCACATTATATTAAACATATTTTAGTCAAAATTCTATTTGTGCTTGATTCAGGTTTTACAAGGCAATTTTGAACAAAAAACGCAGTTGTTAAGTTCAAAAAATTTCGATATAAATCTGTAAGTTTGTTTATATATATATATATATATATTTTTTTTAACTTACTGTGTTGCATAAAGATATGTAAAATCTAAGAAACTTTTTAGCAAACAATTAAACACCATGTACCAAAAGCGCATCATCAAATCTGGTGAGATAGATGAAAGGATTTTTATAAAGGATGATTCTACTTTGTGCATTGGTACTCCAACAAAACGAATAACTGTGTTTACTAATACTGATCAAAAAGCAAGGTACAGCTACACTTACCATTTTGAGTTATAAATTTTAAAATTTGAATTATTGGTTATGTTTTTGTTAGTATGTGCTGCATATTATTGTTTTGTTTTCTTATTAATTTCATTCTATTTATTGTTTCTATTACTATTAGCAACTAAAGCAAAGTTCTAATTAAAGTTTGCTATATACTTTATAGTTTTCATTAGTGGTTTTGAGTAATTTAACAAATATATATTGTTGCAAAAATCTTTAGTAAGTTAGTGTATCATGCACATATATCTATAGTACTAGTTTGATTATGATTTTATAGTTAAGCAGTGTATCTAGCAAGAGCAAAAAGCTAATTTTATTTGAAATCTGTAGATCTCAAGTGAAAAAGAATTTACAAGATTACTTTAACAAGGTAATTAGTTTCTTTACACTATAGTCATTTTCAAATCAAATCATTTTAAACAACTTTTTAGATAGTTATATCATTATCACTAACATGTGTTGATATTTATAACTTTTTAGCTTTATTACAAACTTTATAAATATTTAAAAATACCACGTAAATGACATCAACATCAATAGCACTGTAAAAATTAAAAAATAAATTTGACTCTTTGCTAATAAGCTACAGCTTTGTTGTACTTATTTTTGTTTGAAAGTAGTTTGCTTTTGCAATATGTAATGTCTGCGTAGGGTGCAGTTGCAAATTGATTTAAATAACGATTGACTTAGTCAGAAACTGACTTAATCATTGAAATATACACGTTGAGAACAAAAGTTATAAATACCTTTAAAGGTATTTTAAGTATCTTAATGGATATTATAAATTCTTAAACTTATTGAATGTTAAAATATACTTATAACAAGGGTACAACAATCCACTTTAGGTTTAAAATCTATTTTAGATTTAAAGTAGAAATGTCTACCTTTACAGGTACTCTTTTTTACCCTTTCAGTAAAAATATACTCCTTAGTCTTGTGTGTAATACACTCTAAACAAGTGTAAAATTAATCAAACTTTATTTAGTATGGTGAGTTAAATCTTATTTGTTATATTGTTGGTATAGTATATATGTCTAATTAATCAAAACAATAAATCATGAATTAACAGTATTATACAGTATAACACGCGTATAATCATTTAATTTTGTCTTTAAGCTATAATTAGTTTACACTTATTATATGGTGTTTATTTAGACGTGAAAAAAGTTTTCACTGTTAATTTTATTTTTTTTAAAAGTTAAAAATGGTCTTAAAATATAAAAGTTGTTTAATATCTGTTGATTGGATGTTTCAATTCAAATTTCCGAAACTTTGTCAAAATAATTTTGAGCAAAACCTAAATGCAACAAAATGATTTGTTACATTTCTTCTTTAAACAAATTGAATAATTTGAGTTGAACTTCACTTTATTTCACTGGTTACTGTTCACTTTAAAAGGTTTCTGGTCTCTATAAGATTAGTTTATATTTGTTAACAATTTTTATTTATATATATTATTTATATCATTTATGCAATAATGTTTAATATTTTTATTGCTATCATTTTAATTGTTGTTATTGTTTATTATTATTATTGTTGTTGTTTAGTATTATTATTATTGTTGTTGTTGTTGCTAGTGTTCATTATTATTATTATTTAGTATTGCTAGTGCTTTTTATTATTATTATTGCTAGTTTATCGTTATTATTATTGTTAATATTATTACACTAACTTTATCTTATTTTATCTATGTTATTTCATCTATATTACTTCATAACATTTTTTCAATTTTTTTCTTTAATTTATCATATAAAATATCCTAAATACCATATAATTGTGACATAGATTATTAATTTATAACTTAAATATCATATAATTGTGGCAAAGTTAATCTGTAGAGTTTCACAAAAAAAAAAAGCTAAATTGTTAATTGTTTGGGTCACTAAGGAGGTGCATCTAATGATGGACAGTAGCATTTTGTGAGAGTCAGGAAAAAAATATGCTTTACTAATTAATTAGCTTGCATGCACACACACACACACACACACACACACACACACACACACACACACACACAGGTAAGGTAAGCGTTTCTTACCCATTTTTGAGTAACTCGATTTCATGTGGTATAAGATAAAAAGAAGAAATTAAAGATAGCAAAGAGTTTTTTCTTCCATACCCAAACCCCCTCTCAGTTGATGTCAAGTCAAAAATTTAGTGAGATAATAGAATTATATCATAAAATTTTCTATTAAATTGCTGTTTAATGTTCTTTCTTAAAATTATGTATACAAAATAAAATTTTAGTTTTCATTTTATATACATAATATATATTTTTATATAATGTATAGAAAATATTTTATATTCATAACATATTTTATATACATTATATAGTTTTTAACCTAGAATTCTATTGTCAAACAAAGAAACTTTTCTATTATGGCTTGTCTAATGCTATTTTTGTTAAGGAGTATTCTTGATACAAAAAAATTAAAATTTAACATCTCATAAGTTTTTATATAATTTGTTTGTAGACTCCAGGATAAGAGTTGTTGGGAAGTTGGGGCTTGTTTTTTCAATTTATTAATTGTTAAAGGTTTTTTGTTAATATAAAAACTGGAGTATAGCCTGCATTTTTAAATATCTTTTTTAATTGGATACTTAATTTTTGGTACCCATGGCAAAGAAATACAATTAAATAGTTTTTTGATGTTATTGTTGTTGTTTTGTTGGTTATTTTGCTTATTGCTTTTAAATTTTTTTTTGGCAATGTTTTGCAGTATTTTTTTATTATAACCATTTTCTATGAACATTTCTGTAAGTAACTTTTTCTTTATTCTTGATACATAAGTTGAGCTTATTTTATCAGATATTGTAGTTTTATCAAAATTAAATTACTTTCCTACAACAGGAAACTCTAGGATAACAGGATATTCCAAACAATCCTTTGCAATCTGTAACATAGCGAATCAAAATTTAAAAAAAAAGTTTTTTTTTTTTTATATATTTTAATGTCTAAATTTTTTTTTATAAATTTTAATGTTGTAAATGTCTACATTTTTTTTTGTTGATTATAAACAAAACAATTAAGATCATTAGATTTTTCTTGCAAAGTTTTCAATTAAACTAAAAATTAAAACAGTGCTTTAGGTTAAAAATCACTGTGCAAAAATAGAAGAGAGCTTTACAAAACTCTTGCATATTGTAGCAGAATTTACACCATAATTAAGAAAATTCCTAGAAAGTTTTACCTTGTTTTCGATATTATGATAAAGCCATCATAATCTTTGTCTTAAAATATGTCATCAATTGCTCTATCTAAATGAATTTCTTTTTGTGTCTTGTTATTCAGTTTAATGCCATTCTTTCACATTTGTTTTTACTTGCCCAAATCTCACTTAAAATAATAATTTTTATATATTAAAAACAGTAGTTTTTAATACATAAAAAGGAGCATGAGTTCCTCATATACAAAAAACTTAACTGTCTTATTCACTTACCTTTACTTTTTTTTTGTTTCATATATTTGTAATCAAATTTCAGGCGAAAGAAAATAAAAGTTTACTCTTAGTATTTTGCTTACTAATATGACTGAATCTTAATAAGGAATGTGACCACCTCTATTTTTTATGCATAATGAAAATCTTCTTAAAGAATCTAAAAGTTTTAAACTACTTTTTTAAATTTTCTCTTAGATTTTTAACTAAATTTACTGGTTCTTTGGTAAGTTCTTGGTATTACGCAGTCTTCTCTTAGTATTATGCTGACTGAAGTTGTCTATTGTATTAGTGTTGACAAACTTTTCTATTAATTTTTTATTCTGAAGTTTTTCTCTTTAATATTAAAAATGAAACAATTAACTTTTTTGTTAAAATTATAGCATTGATTAAATTATTGTAAATGTCAAGTGTATCTATAGAAACTGGTGGTTCTACAAGAACAGAACCACTATAAATATATTTTAATAATTAGTAAATATATTATAAACATAAAAATATATAATATCTTCTAAATTTGATTAATTTTCGTTAAAATAATATGTTAACTTTAAACCAATTTTAGCAAGATAAACAATTGAAACAATCAACTTTTTGATTAAATTTATAGCATTATTTTAAATGTCAAGTGTATCTATAGAAACAGGACCACTATAAATATATTTTAATAATTATATTGAACCACTACTTTTTTTATTTTATATTTTAATAATTATATTGAACCACATAAATATATTTTTTAAACTGAACACATATCTTAACAAATAAATAAAGGATACCTTTTTTTTTAATTAAGTGTTAATAAACTAAAAATCAGTAGCTTCAAAGACTTTAACAATTCATCTTATAAATTTGCATAAATTTTATTAAAACAATATAACATTAATTTTAAACCAACTTTGGTAAGATAAACCTTTGTACTTGTAATTTATTTACAGTTATCAATAAAACAACTATATGATGTTTAGAAGCAAATTTTCTCATTCTAATAATTTAGACTAGTGATAAAATAATTTTACATAGCAATCCTGGTGTATACAAATTTAGGATCCTTTTAATGAGCTTTCTTAAAAAAAAAAGGGTTGGTTTTAGTACTGCAATTATGACTTTAATAAATAATTTTTTCAAAATATGCTAATCAAAGTTCTTGACCAAAAGCATAAATAGTGTAACAACACTTGCAAAATAGTTTAAGAGAATTGAACAAAAGAAAGTTTTTCAGTTTTATTCAGTCTACTAGTTTTTTTATAATAGCAATTTCTTGTAGTGTTATTTAATTTATAAGAAATTCATTTCTTGCATGAAGCTAGCATATGTATAATGATATATATATATATATATATATATACACATATAGTCTATAGTCTGTTTTTTAAAAGAAAAAAAAAAAAGTCAGAGGGCGCACTGTCTAGAGTAGAATTTAGTTAAAATTTTAATGGCTCTAATTTAGGCAAAAGGTTTTCCTCCAGAAACACCTTTAACTGGAAGACAATGGCTATCTGCAAATATAGATAGGTAGGTTTTTAGATAGTGTTTTAGTTGTGAAGAAGTTAGAAAGTATTTCTATTGATAAATGTTATTTTATAATTAGTTCTGTTTAAAAATATTTACATTAAACATATTATCATTATTTTTTTGTTAAAATTTTATACTTGGTTATTTGTTATTTCATTCTTATTTGCATCTTATTCAATTCTCTATTGTATGTTTATTTTATTACCTTTTTTATCAATACATTTTTTTTTAGTCCTTGTGAACCAACTATTACTACTTCAGTAAGCAAGTTACAAGAACTTTTAAATGGTTTAAAGGCATCACCTTCCAATAATTTAAAATCTCTTTTTGATGATCAGTAAGTGTTGGACTTAAAATATAATTTTATATACATTGCTGTTCTCTATATTTAATATTTTCTGAGTGTTTTTTATTTTTAAAGTTATTTTATTTAACTTAATAAAGTTATTTTAATGAGTTTAGGTATGTGTTTGATTTTATGTTATTGTAATTTGTGTTTGATTTTATGTTATTGTAATATTGTGCTTTGTTGCAACTAAAATTCAGGGTAAAAGCAGAAGAAAAATTAAAGTCAATTATTGCAGAATATTCTACAATCTTTTTAAATGCGTATGTAAAGGTGGTTATGATTTTTATTAATAAAATATTTTTGTTGTTTTTAAACTATATTTGGTTTTGCTTTTTTTATCTGTACTTTTTTATTTATGTCTGTTAATATATATTTGGTTTTGCTTTTTTTATCTGTACTTTTTTATTTATGTCTGTTAATATATATTATTTGCAAAGTATTGTGGATCTAATAAGAAAAACATATCTTCTTCTTTCCTTGGCCATTTTTGTATGTTATAAATATGAAATTGTGAATATTTGTTATAGGCAAAAAAAAATCTGTTTTAATATGCAGAACATAATAAATGTTCATAAAATGTAAATATTTTATATACTTATTTATAAGAATTATGTAAAATATTTTATATACTTATTTATAACAATTATGTAAAATATTACTCAGCCAAAAGGTCTCAAGAAGTAAAAGTAGAAGTTAAAAAATAATATGACATGTAATTTTTCATATTTTGACAAAAAAAAGTTATTATGACTGTAAGCTGTAAAAAAAACTTTTGTCAACAAACTATTAGAGACTTTTTGAGAAAGACAGTATATTTTGCGCACTTTCATTTTTAAAATATCGACCGACAAAGAATAAAAAAAAACAAGATAATGATCCAAAGCATTTTGCAAGCTATGTTAAGGAACATTTTAAATCACAAAAAATCAAACTTCTTGAATGGTCTTCATAGTACCTAGATCTCAATCCTATTGAGCATCATTTTGACTAGCAATTAGTAGAAAACCAACTAACAAAAATCATTTTTTTTTTTTTTTTTTTTTTTTTTGATTGTTGGTATAACATACCTCAGAATCATCTCATTATTTAGTTGATTTTATGCCCCGTAACTGTTGTGCTGTTTTAAAGGCAAATTGTAACAGATATGCCACTAAATACTGTCTTATTGAAACTATCTTATTAAAAAATGTAGTTTTTTTTTTTAAGTTTTGATAAAAATTGATTAATATTAATCAAAATTCAGTTTCTAAAGTTTTGCATGGAAGCCTTTTCAAATTAACAATTAAATCTTAGTTAACTGTTTATTTTTACAATTTTTTTGGTTTGTATTTTAAATTGAAATAATATATAAATAAATGAAGCACATTTGATAAAAATTTCACCTTATTTGAGTTAGTTCATGAATAAATTTTTTTTGGTAAACTTTTGCATGCTACTGTATATACACACATACACAAATATCTTTGTGTCATTGATGGCATACTGAAATAAGGATTCGTGGGAATTTCACCATTTTTTTTTTGACTAATTTTTCTAAAAGAATCAAAGTCTAATTTATCTTTGAAGTTGAGTTTGGGCAACTTTAAATAAAGTCAAGAAAAAAGGTGATGGATCAGGGCATCCACCCTAAAAAAGTAGCACATTTGTCTTTGGAATTAGTCAGCATGAAATGCTGACCTAATTTCAAGGGCATCTATATTTTTACAATAATATGTAAGTGTATGTATATATGCAGAAATGCTCAAAATTTTAGTGTGCAGTAGAAATAATATAATTTTTTTTTTTTATTTAGAGTTTAAAAATAAAAAAATTATGATATTTTAGGATATTTAGAACATATTAAGAAAAAAAAAATTAAAACAATGAAAAATATATATAAAATGTTTTGGAAGAAATTAATCATAGAAAAAAAGCTGCTCATAAGTTTAGCATGCTTGGGTTTGTAGTTGTTTATAGGCCGAATCCTAATAAGGAATGTGACCACCTCTATTTTTTATGTATAATGAAAATCTTCTTAAAGAATCAACAAGTTTTAAACTACATTTAAAAATTTTCTCTTAGATTTTCAAATAAAGTTATTGGTTTTTTGGTAAGTTCTCGATCCAACAACGTCGAAACATTTTCAATTGGATTTAGATCAGGTTATCTAGCTGGGCACTGAAGTACCTTGATATTATTTTTCTCAGACCATTCTGTTACAGATTTTGCTTTATGGCATGGAGCTTTGTCTTGTTGAAACGTCCATTCTGACTTGTTACCAAAAAAAATGTCCTTGGTAGTCATTAAGTAGTTTTCAAGGGTGTCGATGTATCTGTTGGTCCATTCGACCATTGTATAACATGTGTAGGTCTGGGCTATAGACTATTATACTTTTCATTGTGGTGCCTACGGACAATTAATTTGTTTTTACAATTTAGGACAGTGTAGTTAGATTCATCACTAAAAATAATTTTTCTTAATTCATAATTACTCATAAAAATCGCTTTGCAAAATTCAATTTTTTTTAAACAGTCTGGTTTTAGTAATGGTTTTTTAGCAGCAACATAGCACCACAGTTAACGGTCTTTTAGTCTTCTTTTAACTGTTTGTCTTGATATTTGATTTTTATATGCCAGGTGTATTTCTTGTGCAATCTGTTTTTCTGAGTATTTAGGATTTTTTCTGGCAATTCTTTAAATAGAATTATCCTCAGTGATATTTATCTTTCTTGGTCACCCACAACATTTTTTGTCAGCAATACTACCAATTTCATTAAACCTAGCAATAGTTCTACTTACACATGATGGTGAAACACACTTTAATTTCAAGATTTTTCAATCTTAGTGTGACCTCCCATATTAAGGCCAATAATATGCTGTTTGATTTCTTGACTTGTTGTTTTTTTTCCCATGGGAAATTTTCAGACCTATTATTATTATAATCTAGATTTGAGCAAAAATGATGAATTAATATAAAGCAAATTTTTAAATACTACATATTACTATATTTTTGCAATACTTTATTATAAAGGAGAGTTTAATATACTATAATGTAACTTTTACCACAATAAATTTATAAAAAGGTCTCTTTAAAAGCATTTAGGAGAGCTATTGGCTAAACTTAAGAGCAGTTTTTTTTTTTTAAACTCAAAATATCGCTTAATGTAGTTAAAAAATTGAATGTGCTAAGTAATTTTTTTTAATTTTTCTGTCTTATTTTATTTGGTTTTGTCTAGTTCATAAATAGAAGAAAATTTTTTGTTAAAGCTTTACTAATTATAAAAATAATATATATGGAAAAAAGTAAATTTAATTCTGCTGCGTGCTAAACTTTTGAGCGCTATTTTACATACACTTACATACGCTGACAAGCGTAAAAAAGTGACCAATTTTTCTTAAAAAGTTGATATATTTAATGTTAAATTTTTTTTATAAATATCTGATATAAGTTTTCAAAAGTGTGCGTTTAAATAATATTTGAGTAGATAAATATGTATGACGTGTTTCACGTTTTACTTACAAAACTTGTGCATCATTTTTATTTAACAATATCCTATTTAAACTGTTTACCTAATTTTAGCAATTATTAATTAAAGCTGTTTTTCTGAAAAATAAAAAAAAGCTAAAAATTTTTGAGTCTGACAAAAGATCGGCAAACTTAAGACCAAAAATACTGTTTAACTTATTTTAATCAGAAAAATAAGTAAAAATTTGTTTCAACTTTCAGGTCGGCTTTCTGCAAATTGATATTGTAAATCAAATTAAACTTAACATGATATTGTGAATTAAATAATCAACGCAAAAAAGTTATTTATTATATAAAAAGTTAAAAATTCCATTAGAAGTGTCCTACTCAAGAAAATAAATGTGTTATTTTGACACATAAGGTAACTTACATTACCGTGCAATTAATAACTAACATTTCTAGCGAAATCATCTCATATCTCTGCAAAGAAAAATATTGGTGAGCTGATAATTTTCAAAAAATCAGTTTATTGCTTGTGGAAGATAAAAGTAAATATAAAATAAAAATTTAAAAGTGAATATTAAAAGTAGCCAAAACTATATTTAGTCATAAGTAAAATCAGGAAAACTATGTGTGGCTATCACATATATTGGCTGAAAGGGTAGGAAATTGTTCACTTGGGTTCATATTTAATGTATTGTGTTTTATTATATTTAAAAAAATAGTAGATTTACAAAGCCATAAGAGCGATTGACCTTGTTTAAGTATGCAACTCTAGGAGCCATAAATTATTGTTTTTTCAAAAAAAACATACTTTAAAGTACCATTATTTAAACAGCCAGTACTTTCAATAGTGTCATTTATTTTAATTTCCTTAAAACCAAACATTAGAAATTGTTTAAAAGCAATATCAGCAGTATGGTGATTAAGTATCATTTTGTTTAAGTTATGGAACCAAAGAATCGCTATGAATTTCCATTCATTTCAATTTCATTCCATTCATTCAAAGAATTATTGTTCACTCTCTTACTTTTTTTTCATTAAAATTTTAAAAATTTAATTGGAATTTTTTTTTCAGTTTTTGTTTCGGAGAGTAAGAGCAAATTTAAATCTTTAAGAAAAAGAAAAAATCTAAAAACTAAAATTTGAAAAGGAAAATGTATTTTTTGTTTTTAAAAGAAATACTATACTTAATGAAATGCTTTGTAAATTATTATAAATATATTAAATACATAGATTATTATGTTTACTTATTACTTCATTAAATAAAGTAACATATAAATTCTTATGGTTGTTTACATTAAACCTATTTTATTTAAATTATCGAAGAATATTATACAAAATTACATTTATATAAATTTTAGCAAAACGTTACATAACATAACTTGAATTTAATTGTGTAATAAAAAGTATTTTTTTCTATAAGCTTACGTTAAAGTTTTTATAAAATATATTTAATAGGGAATTTAAAAGCTAAAATATTTGTTTAAAATTTATAAAAACCATCAGATAAAAAATAAAACAAATTCTGAAATTTAAATTTAAATAAATAATTAATTGCAACATAATTAGTTTTTATCATTTAATATAAATGATAAAAATTAGGCTGTTTAATTCAACAAAAAATTTAATGCTTAGACGTCTTTTAAAAAATGAATTAACTTTGCTGTGTGTTTAACTTCATTTTCTGTTTTGTATAAAAAATAAAAAGTTCAAAAAATGAAGTTTATATACACTACTGAATTTATTAATAATTTTGAAATTATTGAATTTAAAAATATATGAATTTAAAAGCTAAAATATTTGTTTAAAATTTATAAAAACCATCAGATAAAAAATAAAACAAATTCTGAAATTTAAATTTAAATAAATAATTAATTGCAACATAATTAGTTTTTATCATTTAATATAAATGATAAAAATTAGGCTGTTTAATTCAACAAAAAATTTAATGCTTAGACGTCTTTTAAAAAATGAATTAACTTTGCTGTGTGTTTAACTTCATTTTCTGTTTTGTATAAAAAATAAAAAGTTCAAAAAATGAAGTTTATATACACTACTGAATTTATTAATAATTTTGAAACAACTAAAATGATTATAAAATAAATGCACACAAAATATGGGTCAGACGAAATGACTGATAGATGTTGATTTGTGACGGACAATGTCAGATGTCCTGCGGCTATTTGAGCCCTGGCATATATATATATATATATATATATATATATATATATATATATATATATATATATATATATATATATATATATATATATATATATATACATATATATATATATATATATATATATATATATATATATATATATATATATATATATATATATATATATATATATATATATATTGAGCAACAACAAACCTGAAGATTAGATACACGCAGTGGTAACAATAAAAAAAAAATCGTTTTTTTCTGTATAGTTACAATTGTGTATAATTTTTTAAACGAACAAACTATATTTGTATTTCACCTGATGATTGCAACAGCATGAAACTTAAAATTGTGAAAATCACAGTTTTATTTTCTCCTATATATATATATATATATATATATATATATATATATATATATATATATATATATATATATATATATATATATGTATATGTATATGTGCATATATATACACACATCACTGTTGTGTACACAATGTCCGCTACTATTTTTTTTACTTCATTCATAGAGGCATTAAATTAATCAAATTAAATCTTCCTAACTTGTAAGTTGTCTCTTATGGACCTCTGCACCAACGTAATCCTACAAATTTTATATGGGATTCAGTTCTGTACTTTGTGCAGGTCAGTTTTTAAAAATGGGAGTTATATTTTTTTAAGCCAATTTAAAAGGCCACTGGTTTTATGCCTTATAGCATTATCCTGTCAACATATGGAATGGAACATTATCTTGTTGAATGCGATTTGATTGTCATCTAACTCTTCTAGGTTGGTAATAAGTAATTCTTGTAACATGATATATTTATCACAGTTAACCCTGTACCATAATTCCTAGATTTATTTTTACTTTTTTCTATTGACAAGATAAAATTGCTTATTAGAACTCAAGGTTTGTCTAACTGTAAGACCTTTTTCCAGTCTTAGTTTTTTAGTGGGTAAACACTAAAAAAACTTAGACTGGAAAAAGGTTATAATTGAGCTTTTTTATGACCAGACACTAGCTTTTTACATTTATGGATTTTGAACCCATGATATTTAAAGCGGCTTAAAGCGGCATGATATTTAAAGCATTGTAAAAAGTTAGTTGGACCACCAACTAACTTTTTACAACAGAACATAGTTGCTACCTGTAAATGCCACAGTTTGTCTAATTGATTAACATGATTTACTGTCATCTATAAAAAAGAAAATAATATATTGAAATTAAGTATTAAATGAAATAGTGTTTAATCATATTTGTAACCAGTAGAGTACCTTATTGTTTTATTTATATAGCCAAGAGTACCAAAAAAAAGAATGATTTGGCTTGTTTGTTAAAGGGATCCTCAAGTGCTAAAACAAGTTGTGTTAATGACATTGATAAACATTAGAAAATAAGTTAAAAGTTAATTGGACCTTCCAAAATAAATTATTGAATAAAATATTAACAAAAGCATTTGTTATTTTGCCATTATACTTCCGGTTGAAAGCCCAATTTTTCTTGTTAAAAAAACACCTGGTTTCAATAATAAATGTTTTTGCTCACCGCTGAGTTTTTTAAACTCAGTTCAGTTTTACAAAATCAGATTGGGTTTTCCCCTTCGTATTTAGTATTTTATTTTTTTTATTTTTTTATTTTAATTCACCTCCTCAAGGCCGAGAAGGCCACTACAGACGAGGAGGCTACTTATTTGTGGCTATAACCCTCTCTTAACTCTATAACTCCGAAACACGAACCTTGACAAACAAGGCCGCTGCGCGGAGAAACGAGTTGAGCGCGGTACTATCAGGGACGTGGTGGGGATCGAACTCGGAGCCACTCGTTTATGAAGCGAGCGCTCTACCACTACACCACTACTGCACCACTATCGGTGGTTATAAAAAACGTTTGCTGTTGCATGTTTTTGTATTTAGTTCAACGTATTGTTAAGTGTTTGAGTTAAATAAACTAGCATAATAAAAATAGTAATTTAGGTGAAGCAAACTTTAAAATACACAAGATAAATATTTTTCTTTAAAAATAAGTAATTAATTTTTAATATACACTACAAATACAATATAATCCGGCATGGTTAAGTTTTGAAAGATTAAAAAAAAAAATATTTTTTTAATAAATTGAGGAAACCGTTTTAAAAATGATCTTATATTTTTAACTTATGCTAATAATTTAATAATTTACATTTCTAATTCAAGATATCATTTTTAAAATGATCTAAGATATCATTTTTTTAAATGATCTAAGATATATTTTTCAGATATGTATAGTTTATATTAAAAACTTGAATATTACATTTTCGTTTAACCGTCAAAGGTTCAACCACTGAAATTTAAGTTTTTTGAAAAAAACTTTTTGTATTGACGTCAAATATAAGCGCATTAATCAGACCTGATTTAAAAAATAAAAATAGTCAAAGAGCCGGAACTTTCCTTTGCCAGAAACAAAATGGCGTTATAAATTTAAAAGTTTTTTGTTGATATCTCATTCAATAATTTGTTTTGAAAAGTTAACTTAATTAACTTTTAACTTGTTTTCTAATGTTTATCTATGATATAAACGCAACTTGTCTCGACACTTGAGGATCCCTTTAAATCAAATAAAAAACTGGTTTGTTATATAAAAAAAGAAGCTGTTTAAAATAGGAAAATAATTTAAATGCATAACTACTTATTAGTAGTTGTGTATTTGCCTATAATAACATAGCTTTTGCTGGGTTTCATTTTATTTTTTTAATGTTTCATAAAAATATTACAAAGCTTCTTATTCTGCAGAAACTTAAAAGTAAACTGAATTCTTCTTTGCATGTATAAACTGAAACATAACAGTCTTAAATATATATAGTATAGGGTTAAAAATTTAGTATTATATATTTTTTAAATATATTTTTCTAATGACTTTTTTATTGTCAATTTTGTTTAGCCTATGGAATCATCTGCTGATGCTTTATCAGAAATTTCAGATGAAAACATTAACAAAGATTTTGCTAAAACAAGATTGCATTTGGCTGTTGTTCTGTTTTATAAGGTATTTTTTAGTTGTGCCATAGAAAGTTATAAATTAAATATAAAAGTTGTTCCTCTAAAACAGTGAAGGAGGAAGTATGACCCATAGGCCAAAATTGACCAGAGAGAGCTTTCAAGTTAACCTACTCTTTGATCCAGAATATTTGATACAGTTGTGCTTATAGAAAGTTATAAATAGAGTATTAAAAAAAAATTATTCCTCTAAGCTATAAAAATTTTGTTGTTTAAATTAAGTATAAGGATAGATATGCAAAATTAATTTATATTTTAAGGATGTTTTTTGTTTTTTATATATCCTTAGATTTTAGAAGATTTCTTTGTAGAAGAAAAGAAAAAATCAGCTGCTGATCTATCAGTAAGTTTTTAACAGTAAGTTTTAAGAACTCCACACAGATTTTTTTTTTTTTGTTAGTTATTAAATATGATTTTTTCTTGTTGATACTTAGATGAATATTTGACTTTATGAAAATCCAGGAAAATTATTTTATTAAAAATTGATCGTATTAACAGACAAAACTTTCGTAAACTTCTAAAACGGAATTTAAATTATTTAACTTTTTACAAAAAAGAATTTCTGCTATTCAAAAAAATTTGAATAAATTTAAAGGCAAAAAAAAAAAAAAATTGTTACGAAAATTTATCTCGTGAAAATTTTAGTTTTAGAAAACATATTTGTTTAAATGCAAAAGTTGTCGTATTTAAAATTTTATGTAAAAATATGTAATTTTTTTTTTTTAAATTAATAACAAAAAACATCCGGAAATTTCTGGAAAATTAAAGGAGTTTTAAGTGAATTTCCTGAATTCTCGGAATTTCCGGAAAAAAACTCATTTATGTTGATAACAAGTAAAAATTAATTAACAAGAGTTTAACATTCTTGAGGTGGGAGGGAAAAATTTCCCAATATTAATAAACATCCCCTTCCTTATAATAAAAATAGGTTTATTAAAATAATATTTATTAAAATAATATTTTATAATAATGTTTTTAAACGACATTAAAAAATTCTACACACCATAAAAATCCCTCATATAATTAAAATGTTTCCACAAATATTGCTGAAACATTATTTAAAACTTCTTGATAAAAACTTCCCAAAAATAACTATACAAAACCTCAATCATAACACTGTAAAAGAAAGCTAAAATTGTACTGAAAATTTTAAAATTATCAAAAACCATGACAAAAAAATACTTCTTTCAAAATTTGAATATAACAAACTAAAATGTATTTGTCAAAATTAAGTAGAATGCCACATTAGTGGAAAGTGTAATAGGGATATTTACATGATGATTTACATTTTATTAAGTTATTTATCCTTTTTAAAACTTTTTTTTTAATTATTAACTTGACTTTGTTAAAGTTTGTTTGTAAAATTGTTTATTTTGTTTAATTAATTAAATTTTAATAAAAATTAAAAAATGATAGCAATAGTTTTAAGATTAAAATAATGTAAACTGTATAATAAAAATTTTATATTAGAAAGTCAACTAAAATAAGTTTTAACTTTTACTGCGCTGTTATTATGAGTATATACTTCTGGCCATTTATCTAGATTTGTTGTTTTAAATTTAGGGAATTATTTTTGTTTGTACAAAATTGTTTTAATATACTTATTTGAGTTTCAAGCACTAAGTGTTATGAAATTTAACATTTATACATGCACATGCATGTTAAAACTGAAAATATTAGCGTTGAAAGGCCAGACTTTTTGGTGATAAAGTTTTTTCATACTTTGAGGAAAATGTTTTAAAATGTAAAATAAATTAAAAAAGTTTGCCTTTTTTAGATATTTTTTTATGACCAGATGACTAAGCCATTATGGGTTTATTAGGTATGACTATATCAGTTAACAATTATTTACCTTGGTCCCTTAAGAAACTGATCCAGCTGCAAAACTATTGAAAGGTTAGTCTAAAGGTATAAAAAAACCTCCAAAATAACAACTAGATCAATTGTCAAGGTAGGCTCAAAACTTCTACATAAATAGTTACACTAATATTTATAAGAGATGGCCTCTGGGTTTATACACTAAATTAAAAGTATTCACTTATAATTTAACATTCAGTTTATAAAATTTCATCATCTAATAAGATAAAGTTTTTTAAAAAGTCGGTAATTTCTAAATTTTTTTATTAAGGACTTTTGGAGCTTTTAAAGTTTATTTAACTGTATTTTTGTTTTAATTAGGTTTTATTGGACCAAGAAGTATTTATGAAATGTCTCTTTACATGCAGTCTTGAAATTGTTATTTTTTCCTACAATAGTTCTAGGTTTAACTTTTTTTATATTAAACACTTGAAATATTTTTTACTCTATAATTCACCAATTAAATTATAATGTATTATATTCTATACTTTTTATTTTTCCTCAAGGGTATTTCCATGGATTCTAAAGACATTTGATTTATATCCTTTCCATTTTTTCAAGGTAGAATTTCATTTTTTTTATTTTAATAATAATAAATTGAAGTGATGCCCTCGGTATATTTTGCAGCTTAAGCATGTAGTAAAGGAATGCATACAAATGAATATTTAAATAATCCTCTAATATATACTGATATGATTATTTAAAGACATAATGATATGATTATTTAAAGACATAATGATATGATTATTTAAAGACATAATGATATGATTATTTAAAGACATAATGATATGATTATTTAAAGACATAACTGGTAGCCATAATGTATTTTATTTTATCTTTTTTCAATTGTTAGATTATTGAATTGGTCATTCGTGGTCAAGATCTTTCAAGAGATGTTATAAAACACCTGAGTAAGGTAAGAAGTTATTTGATTTTATTAAAATTTTGTAAACATAAAAACAACCCACACCAAGAAATTTTCAAATCTAATATATAACATTAAACTGTTTTGTCAAAAAAGAAATGCAAATAAATAGTAGTTAGTGATTTTAGCAATTTATGTGTGAACCATTAATACAAATACTTATGAATTTTGGTCGAAACAGTCTTAATAAGATTTTTGTCACACTTTAGGTTTTGAAATGCCGATTTAAAGCCAGTTTTTTTAAGAAAAAAAAGTTGAATAATAATTAAAATTAAAATTTTTTGCTGTAATAAAGATATATCTAGATACAACATGCCTAAAATCCACAATCGATTGTAGTGAATCACTTTCAAACATTTAAAAATATATTTATATTTTAATCTCACAAAATTCTAGCCAATCTGCTTGTTAAAATAATTATAAATTGAATATTGAAAAATAAAAATTTAATTGTCTACTTTAAAAATTTTATACAGTTTTGAATATTTATTTTAAAGGCTAAATTTAGTTTCTGTTTTTTTTTTTTGACTCGGCAAAAAAATTTCAAATTCATAATAAAAACTCATTAAAGAAAAAAAAGAATTCCAACTAATAACAAGTTGATGTGATTTTATAGTATATATATATATATATATATATATATATATATATATATATATATATATATATATATATATATATATATATCGCTTTTTTAAGAAATTTTACTCGTTGTCAATTAGAACATCCAAGATTTATGCTGAATCAGCATAACTTAATTTTAACAATGTTAGTAGCACCTTATGTCAATGGACTTGGAACTTTTATTTGAAATGTCTTGAAACTAAACAATTTCGGTACTAAATCATAAATCATTTTTATTTTTAATCTAGGTCTTTATAGTATGACTCACTTAGTTTAACTTTATTTAAAACTTCAAGTTGTTAACTAAATTTATTGTACTTTAGATTGAAGAACAAATTCTTGAAACTTTAAGTTGGAAATCTGGATCACCTGTTTTCACTGCCATTGAATCTCATGGTGTGCCTATCTGTCAAGAGGTTGCTCCTGATCACTGTGTCAGTGCGCCTATGTTTTTTATATCTCCCACAAGTTTAAGACTGAATAAAGATGGTTTGTAGTTTAAAAATATTATTTGTTTTGTCCTAATTTAAATTAATTTGCAAATTTCATTTTTCATATTATTTATATTTTTATTATTTTTTTATATATTTTTTTGTTGTTTAGGTGTGGAACAGTCACCCATTATTTCAATTCGAGACCGATTTTCTTTACCAGTTTCAGCAAGTCCAGCAAAGCGTAATTTATTTGGTTCATCTCTTCAAAATGAAACCCAATCAGTTGTTTCGTTAAGTTCTCAGCATTTTAGTGCAAGTGCTACTGTTCCAGCTTCGCCAAAAGTTTCAGGTTTAGTTATTAAAGTTTATTAATTTAAAGGGATCCCAAACTCCCAACACATGCTGTGTTCATATTAAAGATGTTGAAAAAAAAAAGGTTTGAACCAAGTTTTTTTTTTTATTAAAAAAAAATAATGAATGCATACCGAGAAAAACTAATCTTGTTGTTTTAGCTGAAGCTTGCCTTCTCCATTATATACAAAAACTTGGAGTCTTAAATTATATATTACAATCTACAGACTTCGGCGATTCCTTTGAAGTGCGTTTAATTCATAAAAGTTTTAGTGTTTGACGTCACGGTGGGCTTTTGACAAATTAAAAATGTAATTAAACAAAACTGCGCTTTTCTACTTTTATTTAAAAAGTACATTGTATTTTTTTAACATATAGCAAAACAAGTTTATTTGTATTATTTTTCCAAACATTGCAAAAAAAAAATTTATAAAAAGTAAAAAAATAACTTATTTTTATTTTAGATATATCATAATAATTTTTAGATTTAGATATCTTACTTATATTTTTTTTTGTTTTTAAATAAAACAAATACTAAAGCTTTACTTACCAATCGTATGATTTTCATATGAGTATTTTACATTATATAGTACATTATATATTAGGGCTCTCGTTTTTGTGCAAGAGAGCACAGTATTATATATTCTGAATCTTGCTTAATTCCATTTAAACAATCGAAACTATTTTCTAATTTGTCTAGTCATTTTTACGCTGTAATGTTTTTTGTTCTCCTGTCGAAAAAAAGTATTTGTTAACTATTAATTTTATTAACTGACAGTATTAATTATAGATATTCGATGAACTGTTAAATTTTTTTTGTTGTAAAAATTTTTTAATTACGCTGATTTAATTTAAATTGTAGAAATGTTGTAATGCGCGTTAAAAAATATTATATTTGGTATTTCTTAATTTATGTATCGTGTTTGGCATTTGTCTCTTAACATGAAAAATTAAAAAACTAACAAAATCAACAAATACAGGTTTTCCAATAAACGCTACAATAATGCTACACAGTTTTGCAACCTTTCGTCATAATAATTACAATTTTGTAAATAAATACTTAAAATAAAAATACATGTTTTTCAAAATAAATTTAATGAAATATATTTTCACATGGCTAAATAAGATAAATTTTGTAAATATGTGAAAACACCTGATGAAAATTTTACTAAACAATAGACGATGTGACGTCTGACTTTTTTGCGCAAAATTCGAATAGTTTGGGATGTCAGACAAGAAAACTTTATTTTTTCTCTAATATATAAGGCTGGGTGAATAAAAAAAAGCAATTGCTTGTACTCAGTAATTGGTTAGTTTTACGTGAATAAAAATTTCAGCAATTTTGCTTAAGTTTTTATTCACGTAAAGCTGAGCAATTACTGAGTAAATTGCTTAACTTTATGTGAATAAAAATTTGTGGAGAACTGCTGAAATTTCTATTTGCATAAAACTGACCAATTACTGAGTAAAGCTAATTGTTTTTTATTCACTGGGCCTATTGATCTTAGAATAAAACAACACAACGTCACATAATTTTATGGGGCTTTTTATTTATTGATTAGTCAATTTAAATAAGTAAATTTAGTTCAAGTTTTTATTTTAATATTTACAATTGCAATATAATTTAGAAAAAAAAAAGTTTAATGTTGAATTTTTTATTTAGTTATTTATTTTTTTACCTACTTTTTTTATAAAAAGACTTTAGTACCCCCGTCATTAAAATCATTTGTTTTAATTATATTTTGACAATCATTTAAACTAAGTTTTTTAGTTTGACTTATTGAACTTCATCTAAAACAAAATCAGACAAAATATTATCTAACCAAATTGTTGTTACTAATTTTATACAGGTAATTAATATAAAAGAATTTTTTATCAGAATCTTGATTGCGATATTAAATACTTCATTATTTATTAACATTAAATATAACGCAATAACAATTTATAGCAACAAACCAGCATAAAATATTTAAAGTTTTTAATATCTTTATAAATGTTAAAAGTAGAAAATAAATAACTAAACAAATAATGGTAAAATTTATGAATAAAAAAAAAAAAATTTTTTTTGAAGTTTTATTTGTCAAAAGTCTACCGTGTCGTCAAATACTAAAACTTTTATGAATTAAATGGTACAAAGGAATTACCGAAGTCTGTAGATTGCGACGTATAATTTAAGGATTTCAAGTTTTTGAGTAAAATGGAGAAGGTGAGCTTTGACTAAAACAACAAGATTTTCTCGGTATGCATTCATTATTTGTTTTTACTTAGAAAAACTTGGTTCAAGCATTTTTTTAACATTATCTTTAATATGAACACAACATATGTTGGGAGTTTGGGATCCATTTAAAGTAAAATTTGAAAAGATTGATAAATTATTAAATTCTTCTCATGTATTACTTTTTTATATTATAAGAATATTATTCATTATAGCAGGTCCGCTTTCAACAGTGAGGTTTCCAATAATGTTGCCTTCACCTGGATCAAGTCCTTTAAGGTTGATTGCTGTTACTTCACGCAATGTTGATGCTCAATCTAGTGTAATGAAGCCTAACACAAAGAAATATGGATCATTGGGTATATTTTTTCGGAAACTGTATCATATGCTTAGTATGCGAATGAAGGATTTATGCGAGAAGTTGGATATAGGGCTTGAACTGCAGAAAAAGTTAGTAGCTAAAGTTTAAATTGATATTGAATTTAAACTTTAAGGGAGAGGAATTTGGGTAAAAAAAATTTTTACCCAAATTCCTCTCCCTTCCTTCCTTACTCCCCCACCTTTAGTGTTAAATTGCATCTTTTCTACATTAGTTTTTTAATTGTTATTTCTTTAACATAAATTCTCTCATTTAAATATTTTTTTATAATTTACTTATTTAGCGGAGTTTAAAATAATGTAAGTTACTCTTATAATTTACAACTTAAGTTATAATTTAAAGTTTAATTTGTGTTAAAGTGTAATAAGTAAGATAAAATGTAATGAGTAAGTAACTTATTCAATACTATAAGGATATTACTTTTAGTAATTGTTTTTACTTAACATGATACTTCAGGCTTGGTCGGGAAGCGGGTGCGATCGCACTCGATATTTTACCACGGAAATTATATTTAGTTGCGAAAAGCCGGCCAGATTTTTTAGGCGTTTTGAGAACATTTCAAAAACAAGCAAAAAAGCGCAATAAGATAAACTGGACCGATGAGAGACAGTTAAAAAAATACGATTAGAGTTTCAAAATATTTTTGAAACGTCACTCTTTTATAATTTTTTTTTAAAAAAAAAGCGACATTTTTTGTATATAGTAACAACGTATTAATAATGATTGTTTAATAAAGAAACAAATGTTCTTCAATTTATCAAAGATTATATATAATTTTTATTTATATACTTATGTCTTATTTCCAGTGCTGGAAATAAGAGGTGGGGGGGGGGGGGGTAGAAGAGCTATAGTCCCGGGACACACAATGTTATGGACCGAGAAATAGTCAAGAGGACCTATCGGTATTTTTAAGTCATTATTACGCTGTCACACATAAAAAAGGCCACCAAAATAATGCAGCCCCCGGCCCTGTAAAGTCCAACAAGATTAAACCAATAAAACTAACGCTACATAATTTAATTATAAATAAAAAAAGTTTTTTCGGTACCTGTTTTATGCTTTGCGTAGTTTGAAAAGTTTAACATATTTGAAACAATTCTTCTTAGTAAGATGAACAAATGAAATAACTAAATCATTGAGTTACTGTGGAAATTTAATTAGCTAGATAGAAATTAACTAAAAACGTTAAATTACTTTGTAAGGAGGAAGCGGAACTGCTTAACAATATCGCTGATGACGTTTAGTGAGTGGGCTTTATATCTTTAACTAGTATTTTACAGAAGAAAAAAAACTTTAAGTGTAAGTATAACGAGTTTGTAAGAATGGCTGAAGCAAAAATAATTGAAGTTAATAAACCAATTTCTAATACATTACATACATATAAATACATCCCTTATATATAAAAAATAAGATTATACTAATTAAATCTATAATATATTTACAAAACGTTGACAAGTTAAAAAATATAAATTTAAAACATTTATTTTTGTAAACAAATGTTAGTTTAAAACATTTATAGCTTTATGGATGTGACTCCGAGAATGAGCCATCGTATTAAAATAATTGTTCGTTTGATAGTATATTCTTAAAACAATTCATGCTAGAATTCTCAATGAAAAAATAACAAAAACAAAAACAAAAACAAAAGATTTTGAAAAATAATTCAACAGAATACTCTAGAACAGTCGCGTAGTAATTTCAGTTATTTATTAATTGAACTAATAGAATTAGTTGTTCGTAAATTTGGCGGGTTTTTTGTGTTCGCGAATATTCTTTATTTATTTTTCTGCACTAAGATGTTTGACAACATTCAAGTTTATATAAGTTTCCATGTACGTCCGTAAAAAAAAATCTTAATTTACGATAAAATGAACTTATTATTTTGCGGACAAACAAGGAAACATACATAAACTGAAATGTTCTCAAAACGCCTGAAAAATCTGGCCGACTTTTCGCAAGTAAATATAATTTCTGTGGTGATTTATCGAGTGCGATCGCACCCGCTTCCCGACCAAGCCTAATACTTAAAATAGTAAAAAGCAAGTATTAAAATTTTTAAACCTCTTTACTTAGTTATAAAAAACTATTAAATACGTTCATGCTGACAATAAAACATGTGTTATTTTTAAAGAGTATTGAATTGTTATTGCAAAAAACTGCAAAATAACAATAAAACAAACTGCAAAGTTGTTTTGGCAATATAAAGAGCTTGTGTTAATGTTGAACAACTTTATGACACTGTTTTATACAGTTTTATAACATTAATAACATAAAACACGTTTAAAATAAAACAAAATAAATAAATAGAATTGATCTAGTTAATATATTAAAACATTATCGTCATTTTTTCACGTTTCACATGGTTAAAACAAGTAAGATCAAATCAAAAAACATTAAATACTATGTTTTTGTTTCTTGATCTAGCGTACTAATAAAAGTTTAAGTATAATTAATTTTTTAATTTAAATTGTTTTGAAGTTGATGTTTTCACTCAAATTGTTTTGCAATAAAAGTGAAAGAAAAAATATGTTCTAATAAATCGAATTATATTTCATTAAGTTTAAATATATGGTTAAATTTTTTTTTTAGAAAAAATTTCCTTAAACAAAAGTAAAATAATTTTTTTTTTTCAAGTCTGAATTTTTTATAATTTCATTTTTGGATTAAAGTTTGCAATAATCACTGGTTTGCAATATGTTTCTACTTTTAAAACTATTTTTAGGAAACATATAGTTAAATATTTTAAATGTTTATAGTTTAAATAAAACTTTCTCACTTGCACTGTTCTTAATCTGTTAATGTTACTGGAGCTAGATATACATTTAATTTTCAGAAATGATCCTGTGTATTAAAGTCACTGCAATTTAATTATTGAGCGTTTAAACTCTTAAATTTTTCCAATTTTTTATTTATTTTAAATTTCAATCGCAAAATTATTTGAATAACAGAATTTTAGAAGATTAAAATGTTTTGCTCAAATATATTTCTTTTTTAAAAAAGAACTCCTAAAAATAATGTGCATATTAATAGAAATGTTTAATCTTGATATCATTTTAAATAAAATGAAAATATAAAAAAAATGGTGTTGTGTTTTTCATATTCTATTCAAGATTTCTTGTTATAATAATTTTTAGTTAGGCTATATTATGTATAAACAGCATATAAGATATAAATAGAAACATTTGTATGGCTAACTTTTGTGAGTCTTTGAGTATATCAAGTAAATTTAATAGTTAAGTAACTGTAAGTTACTGGAGTAACTTAACTGGTTGTTTTGATTTAGTTTCGAGGTAAATTTACTAGGATGTACTTTATCCAACCAATCTAACCAAGTATAACTTTAAAATATTATTGGCTTCCACACAGACATATAAGTTAATTTAAATTCAAAAATGCTTTATATTGAATAGAAATCTCTGCACAAGAGAGCAAATGATTATACTTCTATTCAAAAGATAAAAGAATAAGATGACCTCTAAAAAAAAACTCAGACAAAAACATTACTTTTAAGAATGACCAAAAATAATGTTAAATTAAAAAAACAAATCACAAAAATTAAAAAAAAAAAAAAAATTACAAAAGCTTTAAAAAGCAATTGCAATACGCTTAATTTGAGTCCTGACATATATATATATATATATATATATATATATATATATATATATATATATATATATATATGTATGTATGTATGTATGTATGTATGTATATTTGTTTATATTTATATATATACAGGGCTCAAAACAGCCGCCGGACATCGTACATTGTCTGGTTAAAACGACATCTATCATTCATTTTGTCCCACCCATATTTTGTGTGCATTTATTCTATAATCATTTTAGTTCTAAAATTATTAATAAATTCAGTAGTACATATAAACTTCATTTTTTGAACTTTTTAATTTTTATGCAAAACAGAAAATGAACACTCAACTACATTAATAAAATGCGTCATTTTTTTTAGCTAATTCAATTTTTAAAATATGTCCAAGCTTTAAATTTTTTTTTTGAATTTTGCAAAAGAATTTTTTTAAGTTGAAATGTTGCAATTAATTATTAATTTAAATTTAAGTATTTGTTTTGTTTTTGTCCAATGTTTTTTATAAATTTTAAACGAATATTTTAGCTTTTCAAACTCTTTTTAATATCATTTTATAAAGCATAATATTTTTTTTAATGCTTACAAGTACTTTTTATTATACTATCAAATTTATGTTATGTAACGTTTGTTTTCACGCTAAAGTTTTTTCCTATTAAAAGTGTTTATAAAAGTATTCATAGAAAAAATTTGAAAAGATTTATTAAAAAATACATATTTATATAAATGTAATTATGTATAATATTCTTTGATAATTTAAATAAAATGGGTTATTAAAATAGAAGTTATAGTGAATTCAATTGTAAAAACGCAATGCATTTCTATCAAACAAAAAAATTGTGTGTTAACGCATCTTTACTTTGATATTAAAAAGTTAAAATAAAACATTTATAAAAGGTTGCCTATAAACTATGAATCAAAAGTCATAGTTTAAACCTCTGGCTTCAATAAACCTCTGTTACACATCTGTTACACCTCCATTACATACATTAGTGTTTATATATTTATATATATACACACAGAGACTTTTGTGAGAATGGACAGAAATTGCTTGCAAAATAATTTATATAAAATATCATTTAAAATAATTTATTATATTTTTAATCATTTGACTGTTAAGACATGTTTAACATGTTTTAACAGCTAAATTAACAATAAACCAAAGGGCCTTAATGAAATTTCTTGTTTAAATATGACATAAAAAAGGAACTTTTCATAAAATGGATATAAAACTTTTGTAAAAAAATAAAAAAAATAATCTTATGATAATATCGTTATGCAATGTGAAATTTATTTTTATAAATATAATTTTACTCTATTAAAGTACTTAAAAATCATCTATATTTTAGAATCTGGACATGCTTTGAACATAGTTTAGTTTCAAATATTGACATGCTTCGTGACCGCCATGTTGATCAGTTGCTCATGTGTGCTATTTATATAATGTCTAAAGTTACAAATGAAGATAAATCTTTTCGAGAAATTATGAAATGGTATCGTACTCAACCTCAAGCATCTAGTGATGTAAAAAGTTTTTTTTTTATCATTAAACAAAAAGGCTTAATAGTGTTATTGATATATATATAATAACAATAATGATTTGTATAATGTTAATGATTTATATTTATTTTATATCTATTTATTAATGATCCAATTATTGTTAATAATATTTAATAATATTAAGGATCTGTATTAATGGTCTATATAATAATAGTTTACTACTATCTTGAAAACTTACTATTAAAAACATATATAGGTTATAAGTTAAAGACTTGTTTTTAACCTATAACTAAAAACTTAGTCTTTAACAGTCAGTTAGGAAAAAATGTTAGGAGCTGCTGACATATAGTCAGGAGTTCCTAATGTTTTTTAACCAATTTTGTATTTAATTGAATTATTGTGGATTTCAGTGTTACAAATTATTAATAGGCCAAAAATTTAATTTAGATTTTTAAAAAAAACTATTTAAATACAAATATTTTCAACGGAATAAAAACAATGTGAATAATGACAATGCATACCAGCAATTAATTTACAGTTTTTAGGAATAAAGAAACATTTTTTGTAAGAATAAGGCAAATTTCTGAAACTGTTGAAGTGACCTCTTCCAAACTGCTTAAATTTTTTATATATTGATCAAAATATAGAGAAAACCTATTGGGGAAAAAAAGTTTTTAAAAATATTTGGTTCACTCGAAATCCGGGTTTAAAATTTTGAGATTTTTTGAAAAATTTTTATAAATTTAGTTTTAGCCACCTTTGAATCCATTTTTTTGGCAAGACAAAAATTTGCACATAACTTTTGACTTTTGTACTTAATATCAGGCGTGACCCAAAAGCTCTATCCAAAAAGTATAAAAAAGTTGCGTAATACTGCGGTTGGCTAATTATCATTGTTCAAAAGTACTAAAACATTCAGTTTTGTCATTTTTTGATGGGAGTTATTTCTAATGACAAAGTGTTGCACACAATTTTTCTTTCCTGGATTTGTAAGGTATTGAGTCTAAAAATGCAAGAAAGAAAGAAAGGCCTATTCATATATTAAGGCTTGAAATTGAAAAAAAAAATATTATAGTATACTTACAAAATAACCCATTATTGCGCTAAATTTTGTAAACATGTCCTAATGTCAATACTACATGGTCCTAGTGATTTTGCCGGTTATTCGGTTTTGCGGTTAACCAGATTTTGTTCGAATATCAAATATCTATTTTCGAATAATAAAAGCCGACTTAGTAACTTTACTAAATTTTATAGAAAGTAACAACGTAATTATGACGACTATTGTTTGACAAATGTTAATTTATCAAAGATTATAATAAATTTCTTTTATTAATTTAAATGTTAATTTAATCAATTTTGTTTCATAATATATTCTTAAAACAATTTACAATAGTAATCTCAAAGATTTATTTATTACTTTTGCAACTCAAGCAATACATTTTTAAGAAAGTTTCTTTAGAATATTCTGGAACTCTAATTCGCTTATTTAGCGTATTTTTTGAACCAATAGAATTTGTTTATTCGTAGATTTGGCGGTATTTTAGTGTTAGCAAATATTCTTTATATTCTTTCCGCAACAAGTTGTTTTGAGAACATTCAAGTTTATCTATGTTTCCATCTATGTCCGCATAACAATTTTTTTTTAAATAGAATTTTTGAAATAGAATCTTTGAAATAGAATCTTTTAAAAAGAGTTTTTTAAATTTCACGCTAAAAACATTTACTTCATAATATCTCATTTTTCCAAATGAAATGTTTTTATATGAGAGAATGATTTTAAAACGTCCGCTGATATTAAAACATTTAAACTATACTTGTACATTATTCCTACCTTTTTTAATTAGATAATTAAAAAGGTATATTATATTATTATATAAAAAATATATTAATATATATCTTTTTCAATGTTTTGTTATAAATATATAATATAGGACTGTATTCACTAACTGTCTTGAAAATGTACACTTTTAGTTTTTAAAAAATTAGTTTAAAACACTACATTCGTTGAAATTTAGAAGATCCTGTATTTAGAAAGCGTCACTAACTTACCAAATAGTCGGTTAACCGCAAATTGGTGGAAACTGTTATCCGGTTTTTGAAACGGATAACCGGCGAAATCACTACATGGTCCTAACATAATAATAAAAAAAACTAGTGTGATTTTGTCACACACATGATATAACATGAATTAAAAACTGAACCAAAATCGAACAGCAGGAAAAATATATTGTTAATTAAATGAAACATAGATTTACATTTCATTTACACACATGAAACAAATTATTTACCACATCACACATTTTTTACTCTGCTGCAGTAAGTTTCTCTAAGAATAGTGTTAATACTGTATTATAGTCTTCTTCGGATAATGAATAATTGCCACAACCATTGATTAGAAAAGGAGCATCTACAAAACACTTTTTTTCAGCTTGGTAGTTTATCTCCTTGAGAGTAATTAGCCAGCGAAAAGTATTCTTCTTTTGCCTATTATTCATACAGTTAACTCTGATCCCATTTATAGATATCTAAAAGTATTTATAGATACCTAAAAGTACCTAAGCGCAACATTTTAAAATACTATAATATAGAATTTATGATTTGTTTAATTTTGTTTACATTCAGTAAAACATTTTAAGTCTAATATGTCTTTCTCAAATTATTTTAACATCTTATATTGCTTTTATTTTAGAGGGCTGTTTTGTAAAACAAAACAAAAACTTGAAAACTAATATATGTTTTGAATAATATATCCTCCACAGTATGTCCAATATTCCATTTTTCATTTACAATAGCAACTCAATCATTCACTTTCCATACAAGATAAATTTCTTTTTAAAGGTTGATGTCTTCCTCATATTTATTATCATCTTCATTGTCTCCTGTCTGATTACAGTTATCATTTTTTGTCATAAACTTCTTTGTTATCTTTAATCTGACTATTTTCATCATTTTCTATTGTCAGTTCTACTAGCATACATTTTCTTTTCAGGTTACTAAATCTGCAACAATATCAATTGTACATCTTTTTAAACATGTAAACAAACATACAAAATTACAGTTTTCACCGAAATTTTAATTTCATATTTGTAAAAGAACTATTTAACAGTCTGTAACAATCTAATTTGTAAAAATTTTAATAGCACCAATGCCTACCTTGAAAATAAAGATCTTGTTGGCTAATTACATATTGATCAGACAGAAGTTCCCTTCTCAGCTGCATGTGAACCTGCTCACGTCTCATTTTATTACCTGATTCTTCTTGAATAAACAGTGCTTTTTGTTGGTTTGAAAATCTAAAAGAACTTCGAACTGGTAATACCCAACCTTGCAATACTAAAATGTTCATGCAATGTGGTTTGTCTTTTACACAAGCATTGTTAGAGAATGAAGAAATTGGCATATTTAGTTGTGAAGTAATTTTCATCTTATGAACAAACAAGTTGCGAACTTTATGTTCTTTATCTTTGGTACAGTAACTACAGTTTTTTTCATTGCTAATTAGAGCAACTGCTACTTTTGCATCTTTAACACCAAAACTATAATGCATACCCTTGGGTATATCTTCACCAGTCAAAAGATTATTACCAGAATCAACCTAACTCTTTAAGATTGTCTTTGTAACTGCACTATTCCTGTCACTTTGATCTTTTCCGCAACAGAGTTCATTATAATCATATCTCAGCAACTTTATATCTCTCTCTTTGCATACATTATAAATTGCTTCAGCTGAAAGATTTCCCTGATAGCAGCCAGCATTATCAGATTTGGTAAACATCTTTTTGATATGCGGTTGATCAATTCTGAATTGGTCTAAAACTGCAATGGCTAGCCAAACCTATTGCCTGATCACACCTATACATTGAAGTAAAGTAAACACCTTTGAATAACTTTCCTGTTATTTTTATGAAGAATATATCCACATGTTAACTCATTCCTTTCTTGCCAAAATCCTTTCTTTGGTCCTCTCTGTATCAAACCGGAAAAATTTTTTGACAAAAATCTTAAAGCCAGAAAGCAGTTTTATCGTTGCTTTAAAGTTTAGATTTTTGCCTTTTTCTGTTGAGAATCTCTCAATTATTTTATTTGTTGAATACATCCTTTACAGCAATTTCCAAATCATATATAGAATCAGCATTATCAGAATTTTAAATTGCTCGTTCTTTGATCATCTTGATAGTTTTGCACAATAATAACGATTTCTACATATCACTTCTGATTTCTCTGTGTTGGATTAAAGATTTTTTCCCGATGGATCTGATAAAGCATGTTTTAAGCTTTTTCAACTTTTATCGCATGCAATACTTTCTACAAACTTGAATCAGATAATGGTACATAATTGTTTTCACTGCAACTTTTTCTATAGAACATGATAGCATAGCTAAATTTTGTCATCAGTATTGCATGCGCTATTTTTTGCTCTTTACCACTGTTGTATTTCAATTTGGTTATTCCATAGGCAACATCATGCAAAATACCGCTTATAAATATAAAGTTTAAGAAATGTTCACACTTTGTTTGATCAAGACTAGATCAGACGAACACTTTCTTTTCTGGAAATGCCAACCCTTCATGAGATGCATGCCATTTTCTTGCTAATTCTTAATGTTGTTTGGTACACTCAAATGTTCTCATTATAAAGTTTTTGGTATACTTAGTATGGTCTAATAATAAGAGGATAACTAACTTTCCTATGGAATCACTTTGTTCATATTCTTTCTGAGCGCAAATAATCTGGGAGAGGGCTATTTATGTCATCAACATTTTTACTGTTAAGAAAGTCTTTAAGTACTTCCTCTTGTCCAGGAGCTACAGCTTCCACAAACTTTTTCTTTAATAAGTTTTCTAGGCAAACATACTCGCGTTTTAACTTATCTTTAGTAGTATCTTCCAGATATTCGAACTTCCTTTTTAATCTATATTTTATAGGATTTGCATTAAGAACCTTGGTTACACACTCACTGCTTCTAAGAGGTTTATCCAAAATCTCTTATAAAACATTAATTTCACCGGTGTCAAATTCT